TACATTCTGTCCAATCAAACTCGAATCACGTGATAGGGTCGCCATGGCGACAGGGTCGCCAAATAGTATTACCCTAATAAAATAATGTTTTTTTTAATAAACTTATTTTTTATTTATTTATTTTTTAATAAATATAATATAAAAATTTTTAAAAATATATACTTTCTATAAATGCACACCCTTTATAAATGCAAGCTTATCTTCAGTCCCAAAGGGAATACATTTATAAAGAGTTGATTGTATATTAAATAATTCAAAATAAGGAAATAATATGTTTTTTATAAGGTTTATATACGTAATTGATTATAATTTAGTATGTTTTATAAATTTTTAGAAAATTGATGTATACAGAAGGAATTTGAAATAACGTATAAATTTTATGTAAAATAAAAAATAAAAAATAACAATATTCAAACCAAAAAAAAATTTTTTTCTTATACAGATATCAAATTAAGCTTAAATATTACATAATTCTAACGGTTTCTTACATCATTTTTGTCTAATAGATTAACTTTTTATTGATCCATAAACAAGATTTAACATATTTTACAAATTTCTTATTTGATAATTATCATCAACTAATAGATACCAATAGTCCTTTGTTTATTTTTCTGCAGAAGAAAATTTTTTATGTTGTTTAAAATGATTTATTTTTTGAAATCTAAATAAGAAATTTAAAATAACATATAAATTTTACGTAAAATAAAAAAATAACAAAAATAAAAATAACAAAAATAATAACATTATACATCTTTTAATGCAAGTAATATTAAAACATTTTATGTAAGATATGTAAGAAAAGAATAAGTGTAAAATCAAAAGTGTTATAATATAAAAGTAATTTAATATGAGGAAAAATTTTTAATAAACAGATTATACAAACCAAAAATTTTTTTCTTATATTTTGAATGTGCAAATATCAAATTAAGCTTGAATATTATATTTGTGATGATTCTAAAATTTTTTCTATTTTGATCATCATGTTTATCGATCTATAAATAAGATTTTTTAGTAAAATAAGCATAATCAGTTAACCCCTTGAATTTTAATTGACAACAGGTTTGTTAGATCTAATTTTACTGACACAAATAATTTTCAATGCATTTTTGATGATAAAATATTTCTAAATTGAAGAAATTTTCCTTTCTATTTATGCAGAAAATTTGTTATTCTCATGTTCACTCTTGAAACACAAAAATTTTCTCATAAACTGTTAATTTAAGATCCTTTAAATATCCTATATTTTCAGAATCCAAAATTTTCTAAACTTTAATAAAAGATGATATATGTCAACTCTCGCCAATCTAAAAACATTTGTTAAAAAAGAAATTACAAAGAAGAATAAGATATCATAAAAAGAAGTATACCTATTCTAGTAGATATCTAATTTACTTTGTAGTAATATGCGATTCTAATATTTATGAGCAGCATGTTTACCATTTGATGTGTATTTTCACGTAATATGAACAGTATATTATAGTACTAATATGTATTTTCACGTAATATGAACGGTACGTTATAGTACTGATGTGTATTTTTATTTTGATTTTGCATATTGACAGTAATTTAGATAGCTGTAGACATACTTACTTTTTATATCTAACTAGTTTACTACCAAATCATCTATCCACTCAATATTTTTTAGGTTTTAAAATCGAGTTGATTCTGAATTTGAGAAAATATTAAAGAAAATCAATAATTTTTCAGCTGATTATCCTTCTTTTTATCCAATTGAAGATTATCTAATTTTTTAAAAGAAGATATATAATAAATAAACTTAGTGTTATGGTCAGTTCTTTATGTTGCTTAAATGTTATAAGCGAACAGGTAATATATGTGGTAAGCAGAAGGTTTAATTTGTAGTTGAGATTAAGTAAAATATAGGTATTAGTAGTTTATTTGATATATACTAACAAATGAGTACTGCCTCAAACGTCAGCGCTTCTGTACTGTACAAATGTTCTAAATAATCAAACTAAACTAATTTAGACTATTCCTATAAGTCTTTACTCTGTATGTTCTTTCTCAACACACTTAGCACACTGAATCTCTAAAGATTCTCAACTCATATTTATATAAAATAAAATATATATAATCGTTAACAATGTAAAATAAATAAACTAAATATAATTAATAAACTAAGTTAAATAAATAAACTAAAGAAAATAATGAAAATAAATTAAATAAATAAACTAAGTTAACTAAATAAATGACGTAGACGACGTAAACGAGGTTAACAAGGTTAACATAGTTTCTAAGGATCTACATTAAGAAGATCATCTTAATGATTTTTATGTAACATCACTCTCCTTCAAGATTTTATGTTCTCGCAAAAACATCAGTGGCCTTTTCTACAAGAGTATTATATTCTGTTACCGAGAGACGTTCAATCATTTTTAAGGTCACATGATGTGTTCTCACAATTTGGTCTGGTTCTAAAAATTCAAAAAGATAGTAAATTTGAACGGCTGTTCGATAATAGTATCCAGATATCTTTTTGGAATACATAGTCCTTATATCAGGATTCTCAATTGTTTCTATCAATCTTCTGAGATAGAAAGCATTCGTTATTATTAGAACACGATTATGTATTCACTTAGCTCTTAGGAACGTTCGCTTTGTCAAGGAGAACTTTATTTCTAATGTCATTGTATCATCATATGGTGAAGGATACATAGCTACTTCTTGTAGTTTAATTCTTTATAAATCTTCAAGAATCAATTGAAAATTTTGAGATAAGATTTCAGTATAAGTTGGTAGAATGTCAAATTCTTCCATTTTTTTGTTTTTTTTTTCTTACGTATTTTGCTGCTAATTGTACTTATATATATATTTGAAAGGAAATAATATCCAGAACTTTTTGCAACATTAATTATTATTTCTCAATTAATACAATTGGTTTAGGTAGTGCACGTTGGTGGTACTTTTTAAGCCTTGCGTTATTGATTGGCACTTTTAGTACCTTGCAATCCATTGTTCTTAATTTGTACACTCCATTTTCAAGATCTGCATGAATATAGTATGGTCCTTTCCATCGCTCTTCTAATTTCTTTTTGTCTTGTAATTCAGTTTTATGCATTAAAACTAATTCTCCAACCTTAAAAGTATATTTATTTGTTAAATTTTTATCATGTCATTCCTTTTGTTTTCTTTGGGATTTTTCTATATTTGACTGCGCTTGATTAATGTCGTGATCCATTCTTCCAGTTATTTGTCATACACGATTTAATAGATCATCCTCATCATTGGTTTCCTTTGCTTGTACCTTTTGTGTTTATACTTGAAACTCTATTGGTAAAGTTGCTTCTCCTTCATATGTTAGATAAAAAGGTTCATGTCGTGTGGTATTATGCTTTTTTGTACGGTATGCAAATAATGTGGAAGAAACAAAGGTATCCTAATTATTCTTATTTTCATTTGCAAATTTTGCCAAGGTTTCACATAGTGTTCTATTAAATCTTTCCACAAGTCCATTGGTCTGGGGGTGATACGCAGTAGTCAATTTGTGTTTTACTCCTAATTCATTGCACAGGGAATCCAACATTTCATTGACGAAATGTGTTCCTCTATCTGTCAAAAGCTCCTTTGGACATCCATGTCTACAAATGATATCTTCATAAAAGAAGAGAACTACTGATGATGTTTTTGCGTTTGGCAATGCTCTTGCTTCCGGCCATTTCGTTAAGTAATCTGTTGCTACTACAATGTACTTATTTCCTCATTCAGTCATTGGTAGAAGTCCAACAATGTCTATACCTACTCAATCAAAAGGTTGTCCAACTTTTATTAGGTGTAGGGGTTCAGTTTTCTTATTCTTGCCTCTTCTTTGACCTTCATCACAAGTTTGAATATATCATCGAGCATCATTATACGTAACCAGTAGTATCTAATTTTGATTCTCCTGTACGTCTCTTCTAATGCAAAGTATTCAGCCAGTGGATCAGAATGTAAATTATACAATATTATATATACTTCATTAACTTTGATAACTTTTAGTAGGCGGTATGGTTCTTGCTTATTCTTTTTATAAAGCTGTCCTTCTATTACAATAAAATATCTTGACTTTCATTTGATTGCTGCTTGCTGTTGTTGGTTTAATTATGTTGGCATTTGGAGTTCCATGAGATAGTATACCAGTGAAAAATATGTATCCGAGTCCATGTTGGATTAAATCAGAAAAGAATTATCGTTAGAGTGTCTGTTATAAACAAATCCGTTTACTATCGAGCTTGTGGTTGAAAAATTTTTTAGTGTTGTATTCGGCTTAATATATCTACGTTTGTATGAAGTTTTCCAGGTCGATTAATAATTTCAATATTATATGCATTAAGTATCATTAGCCAACGTTCAAGTCTTCCAACTGGGTTTGTCATATTCTTTAAATAAGTCAAGGTAATGTAATCAGTGATTACAGTAAATTTATGTTCATGTAAGTAATAATGATAATATTTAACAGCCCAAATTACAGCTAAGCATTCTTGTTCTGTAACTGAATATTTTTTCTTAGGTGGTCTTAATGCTCTACTTGCATATACAATAACTCGTTCTCTTTTCTGTTCATCCTTTTGAGAAAGTATTGCTCCTAGAGTAAAAGAAGAAGCATTGGTGTAAAGAACAAAGGGTTTGTGAAAATCAGGATATGCAAGTATTAGTGGTGTGATCAAACAATTTTTAAGTCGTTCGAAAGCATCTTGTTGTTGTTGTATCCAGATATAAGGTGTATTCTTTTTTAACAATCTATTTAATAGTTCAACTGTATTTGCGAATCCTTTGATAAATCTTCTGTATAGAATGTAAGGGCAATGAATCCTCTTAATTGCGTCAGGTCCCTTGGAATAGGGAAATTCCTAATTGTAATTACTTTATCTGAATCTGTTTGAATTCCTTCTCTGCTGATAACATGTCTAAGAAAAGGTAATTTCTGCTCAAAGAAGAAACATTTCTCTGGACTTAATTTTAGTCCAACTCATCGTAATCGTAGAAATACTTGTTCTAAATGTAGAAGGTTATCATCAAATGATTTGAACCAATGTTGATATCATCAACATAGACGATTACATATTGCCATAAGATATCTCGCAAGACAGTATCCATTAATCTTTGAAATGTGGCAGGAGCATTACAAAGACCGAAGGGCATGACATTGAATTCATAAATTCCAAATCTGGTGATGAAAGTGGTCTTTTCCCTATCCTTTGGTTCTAATTCAACTTGCCAGAATCCATTAGCAAGATCCAATGAGGTGAACCACTGTGAGCCTTGTAATATTTCCAACATATCATCAATACGTAGTAGTGGATAATGATCCCTTTTGGTAACATTATTAAGCTTACAGTAATCAACACATAAGCGTTTCTTGCCATTCTTTTTTTCCACTACAACTACAGGTGAAGTCCATTGACTTTTTAATGGTTTTGTTAAACCAGTTTTCAATAGTCGATCGATTTCTTTCTTTATGAACTGTTGATTATTATATAAGATGCGATAGAACTTTTGCTTTATAGGAGTTGCCTCTCCAGTATCGATGGCATGTGTGATTACATTTGTTTTTCTAAACTGATCAGGTTTCCAAATAAAAAGATCGGTATATTGTGCCATGAAATTATCAATCTTTTCAGACTGTTCTAGCGTAAGCTTTCCAACATGAAAGTTTCCTTTTTCTGTTTTCTTATATTGATAGAATGATTCTCTTATGATTTGATTTTGTTCCGCTGAACTTTCCATTTCATGATCGATTGCCTGAACTTCTTTTACAGATAATTCCTCTGTGTAGCAAAATAGTTCTTCTTGCTCTTCATCTTCATTATTAATCTCCTCATATTCTTCTTCCTCAGATTCTTCCTCACTTTCGTCATCATTAATTGATTTGGTCCTTATTTTTGAGGATTGATGAAATTCAATTGGCACATTTATTGCATGGTCACTCCAGTAAAGTGTCATAACTTTATTTTTGTAACTTATTTCAGTGTCAGTCTTTTCTAACCAGTCATTTCTTACAATAGTGTCATAGGAATCTGTTCTAGTTACTATAATATCAAAGGAAATTATTTTTCCTATTATTCTTAAGGGAACATTAGTAACTTTTCCTAGAGGTCTTCTTTTTTCAACATTAATATTAACCATTATTGTGTTAGAGACAGCGTTACATTCCATTCCAAGTTCTTCCATTAATGCAGCGGATATAATGCATCCTGAAGAACCTGAGTCAACGATTAGTGATATTTCCTTATTCTTTATATGTGCTTGATAGTATAAGGCGGTCGACTTTTGGTTATTGTTTTTAATAGTCGTTTGATGTGTCTCATTTATTGCAAAGATGTCATCTTCTTCATTTTCAGCTGTGTCTATTTCCTTAGAACCAGTCGGTTCATTTGATGCTTCATTATCATTGCTTGGTTTAGATCTGAATGGGAGTACTTCAAATGAAAATAGATTATCCTCTTGTGATACTTCGAGGCCTTTGCCTTTATTTGGTATTCTATTAATTGGCTTCCTTAATTTATTCATTAGATCTCTCGCTACTTTAGGGTTTGTTGCTAATAACTGTCCATTGGTTATGTTGGCTGGTTGGTCGAACAGTTGTTATATGTTATAGAGAGGTATCATGTTAACTACAGGTGGTGCAGCTAGAGGTTTTCTTTTTCCTTTCAGTTTGGTAATTCTTTTTGCAACTGTATCTCTTTGTAGATTTTCTCTTTCTCTGACAAAATTCTCTTCATTAACTACTCGTCTCCTTTTATTTATTAATGCTTCCTGTATTGATAAGTTAGAGGGAATAAAAGAAGGTTTCGTATCATTACCCTTGTGAGGTACACCTTCTAGTTTAAAGACTGATCATCTTGTTGTTGTCATAACAATTGTGTCAACAGTTGTAATGCTTGATTATTGGGATTGTTTGGTAGATTATTGTTAACTGGATTATTAACAGGTGGTAGTATGTTAGCTGTTAAATTATTCATTGGAGTTGGATTTATAATGTGCGGTGGATTAACTGGAACATTTGTTTGTTGGTTACTTTAGTTATTGAATAGGGTATTGAGAGGACAGTTTCTTTTGATATGACCAGACTGTTCACAACCATAGCAGGTAAGATTTCCATAATTGCGATTTGCAGAGTAATTATTAAACTGATTGCTATTATTATTTGGCTGGCTATTTTGTTAGAAGCCTATTTGATTATTTCTTTGATTGCTTTAATAGCTTCGCCTGTTATTTTCTACATTAAGTTGTTATACTTGTTGTGATATGGCATTGTTTAAAGTATTCATTTTATCGTCAACAATTGAAGGGATACTATATTTATTTATATAGGCTTGTACTGCGATAGTGTCTTTGTAGGTTAGTTCATATTGTTTAGCTCTTTTCAATATCGCATTCCATGTTTAGTCATTAAATGGTTTTACTAACAAGTGAAGCTCCGGTAGAAGTCCACTGACAAGTCGTCTAGCCTTATATGCGTCAGAATATTGAAATGCTGGTGTTTTTACTCGTTGATATAATTCAAATAATTCAAACAATGCACTAGCATAATCATCAACAGATTCGCCATATTGTTGTTGTCTCTTCTCCAATTCAGTTGTCCAAATTTCAACAAGAGTTTGTGATCTGAATACAACGGGAAAGCCGGTGACAAAATCAGTGTTATTATTATTACTAGCCCATGCCACAATACGATTTGCATGGTTATTTGCAAGTGCTTAGTTATTGGTCCACCATGTTGAAGCTGAATTTTTCAAATATGCTGGCACAACTTCTAGCTTCCTGTTATCATTAATTCCATTTGCATTACAAGCATGTGTAAAGTCTTCTAACCAGCTAATTGGATCTTGATTTCCACCATAAAAATAAAGAAGGTCAGCAATACGTGATTCTTTGCGAGGTGGATTAGCATTTATAGCTTAAAGTTGGTTAATCAAGTTAAAAATTCCATTGTTAGCATTAGGAGTAGGTGGTGCATTTGGATTGAAGATTCTAGCCATTTGTTATAGAGCCGCAGTAAGAGCTGGTACATCAGCTTGATTGGCTGCTATTTCTTCAAATAGATTTTCTAAGTTTAAATCTTCGTCAGTATATAATAGACTGTTATTAGGTAATTGATTATTAAATATATCATTAGAGATAGTTGAGTCGGTATCATCGGATGTGATGGAGGGTGATATAGAGGTTGTTTCTGATATTTGATATATTTAATATGTTTAATGGATCTAAAGCAAATCCTCTTGTCAGAATAAAAGCGTTATATATATTTTGTCTGACTACTACAAAGGACTCATCAAATCCAATGTTATATCGAATACTAAAAATGAGGTTGTGTAAAGCGTCATTTACTGCGTTAGCAGTGCCAATATAAAGATAGGTATAATTGAGTTTTTTCAAGTATTGGGACAGGGCATCGCAGGAATGTCACTGAACGATAACGGGGTTTGACCACCAACCCGGAAGGAGTATCATA